GTACCAGACAGGATTTCCAGATGGGACATAGTAAAGTGCTTTACTGTCCTTTTAAAATTATTATATTTTTATATTTTAATTATATTATGACTTATTCATTCATATAATGAGTGAGGGTGTTGTAAGATAAGGTGAGTGTTGTCCATCCGTCCGTTCAGGTTGTGGGGCAGCAGCCTAAGCAGAGAGACCCAGACTTCCCTCTCCTCAGCCACTTGGGCCAGCTCGTCCAGGGGAATCCCAAGGTGTTCCCAGGCCAGCTGAGAAACATAGTCTCTCCAGCGTGTCCTGGGTCTCCTCCCAGTGGGACGTGCCCAGAACACCTCATCAGGGAGGTGTCCAGGAGGCATCCTAACCAGATGCCCGAGCCACCTCAACTGGCTCCTCTCGATGTGGAGGAGCAGCGGCTCTACTCTGAGTCCCTCCTGGATGACTGAGCTTCTCACCCTATCTCTAAGGGAGAGTCCAGACACCCTGCAGAGGAAACTCATTTCAGCCGCTTGTATCCGCAATCCCGTTCTTTCGGTCACTACCCAAACTCGTGGCCATAGATGAGGGTAGGAATGTAGACCAACTGGTAAATCACTTCACCACGACAGACCGGTACAGCATCTGCTTCACTGCAGACGCAGCACCAATCCGCCTGTGGATCTCCCGCTCCATTCTTCCCTCATTCGTGAACAAGACCCTGAGATACTTAAACTCCTCCACTTGGGGCAGGACCTCCTCACCGACCTGGAGGCGGCACCCTACCAGTTTCCGGCTCAAGACCATGGTCTCAGATTTGGAGGCACTGATCCTCATCCCGGCCGCTTCACACTCGGCTGCGAACCGCTCCAGTGAGAGCTGGAGATCACGATCTGATGAAGCCAATAAGACCACATCATCTGCAAAAAGCAGAGATGTGATCCTAAGGTCACCAAACAGATCCCCTCAACACCTTGGCTGCGCCTAGAAGTTCTGTCCATAAAAGTTATGAACAGAATCGGTGACAAAGGGCAACCTTGGCGGAGCCCAACTCTCACTGGAAACGAGTCCGACTTACTYCTGACAAAACTCTGGCACCGGTCATACAGGGACATAAAAAACCGTATCAAGGTGAATGCTGTGTTTGGTGAAAATGTACAAAGGATGGGCAGAAAAAAAGTTTTAATTTACCAATCCCGATGCTGGTCTCACTCACGCACTGATCATGCAGTGTTTGCATGATCTCAGTTATGTCTGAACCTAGTGAATAAACCAACAATAGAGCTYGGATGCTTTCGTTGATTTTACTCCTTCATGCTGCAAAGGGTGAGTAACACAAAAAARACTCTGCTGTCTGCAWTTCATTGTAATTATTGCTAGTTTAGACGAAACCTATGTGCCAACTACAGCAAAAAAACAAAACAAAAAAACATTCACCTAAACAGCCACTCYTCCGTGGTCATAATGTTATGGCTGATTGGTGATAACACTGAGGCAATAAAGTGTCTGTTATTCAATCAACCAGTATGTGTGACACTTACCTGACGGTGTGGTCCCAGATCTTTACAGTGTTGTCAAAGCTACAGGAGATAAAGACGTTTGGATGGAAGTGGTTCCACTTTACAGCATCTACTGGCATGGTGTGGGCATCATAGATCTCCAGGAACTTAGGTGAGTGAGTTTTGGAGCACTACAGAATGAAAGTTAAGTCTTTYTTTAGACTAAGAAAATAAAATAAACAATTCAACATCTTAATATTTTGTTAAGCAGCACAGCTTAATCAGTGCTTGTTCATTACATGATAATGAAACAGGATTATTATACCAATCACATAAAAAAACGATTCTAAAAGCAACCATATAGCTGGTTACACTTTGTTTTTAACAACCAGATCTCATTACCACATGTACACCTGTCTTTTTAAAAGAAAAAAAGGTGCCAAGTAAAAAAAAAAAAATAAAGAATATTGTTTTTTTTTTTACAGCTATAATAAAAGGATTTTTATGCAACAACCATTACAATTGTTATCTTGCTTTTTATTCAGTGCAAATTATTCAGAGGCATATTACAAACCAATGTACAAAATAATTAAATATTCTCTYGAGTCCCATAAACTACACCCAATGGGTCCACAACAGGCATTAAAAACTATTTTCTTTTTACTTAACCATCAAACAACTAAATCATGCTCTAATGGTATTCCTGTTTTGTTACAGAACGGACAACTGTGCAAAGTAAAATATAATTGTAAGATTACTCCTGTGATTATCCATAATGCTGTAAAAAAATATTATTTTAGAGATAAATGAAAAATATACCTCTTTACTTACAGCCCTGTACAGCCTAAAGCTCTAAAAACGTCCACTCATTTAATGAAGCAGCTCAGTGGTCTCATTAGGACCCAGCAATGTTTGCTATGTGTTTGACATATTGTGATATTTTAAAATAGCAGCTAACAAGTTGAAGCTGTGAAAGCTTTGGAAACATAATTATTATGTGGCTAAAAAGTGCCTTCACCAAAAACATTACAAAAATATTTTTACTGACAGAACTTATAATAAAGTAACGTGCTTAAATAAGTTAAATTAAACAAGAAAATATATTTTAAGAATATGGCAGGGGATRATGAGGAGTTAAAGATCTTGTGAGGAATTAATTTAAGCACAATTTTCCACTCACAGCTTTAAGAAGTCCTGTGGTAAAACTTCTTGTTTCAAACCTACAAGATCAATATTTGTTCCATTTGTTGCTTTCCATTCATAAAATAATCACAACGGCAAAACTACAGCAGAGTTCAACTGCAACAATAAATAAACTTGACAATCCAGAGAGAAATACACTTTATAGGTGTTCGGGACAGCTGTTGCATTTCCAAACACTGGCAGACTGATGGTTGACCCGCAGCAGGAGATTGTGGTGTCTGATCTGAACCTTGAGGTGACAGGCTATGCATCTTACATTTACGAGTGTCTGTCAGCAAGTTAGCAAAGGAAAAGCAAAAGTGTGAGTTATTTCTCCACCAGTAAAACTTTATCACATTTTTGGTTAAGGTTCAAATATGTGGGAAGTGAGAAATTCCAGCAATGTTCTTTTGAAATTTAATTAGGTAAAAATTCCTATGACAAAACAAACAAACAAACAAACAAACAAACAAACAAACAAACAAACAAACAAACAAACAAACAAACAAACAAACAAACAAAAACCCTTTAAGAACTTCTATAACAACACACATTTCCACAGCTGGTCCAATCTGTCACAGTGTGGTGACGTTAGAGTCTATCCACTTTAAACACAGGTCAATAATAACTGACTTTGAGCTTGGGGTCCCTCACAGGGCCTTTGGCACTGGTCTCCCTTATGTCTGCCTCGGGCCTTGAAGGTCGGGTCTGTGGTGTCATGGTTTGTCATTTTATGCCTTGGTTTTTCCTTGTGTTTCTATGTTCCCCTGTGTGTCTCAGCTCAGCTGCCCCACGTCACGCTGCTGATTACCCTTGTGTTTCTCCCCAGGTGTTTTCTGTTCCCTCATTAGGTTTCTGTGTATTTAAGCTCAGTCTTGTCTCTGTCTCATTGTCGGATCATTGTTCTGTCTACCTGGTCGTGTCCTGTCCCATGTTCTTCGTCTAGCTCCAAGTCAAAGTGAGTTTTTGCTGTATTATCAGCCTCTTTTTTGAGTTTTCATTAAAGGCCTCGTGCTTTTTGATTTTTGAAACCTGCCTGTGCCCTGGGTTATTTTGTTGGTCCTGACATGTAGGTTTCCACAGTCACTGTTAAAACACTCCAATGGAGAAATCTTGTATATACATGCATGCTCACAACCGCACACAAACAGGTGTTCAGATCCAAGTGTTTCTTAGATACATTTTATGTTGGGACTGCATTGGCCACTAAATATTTATGTGCATATATGTATGCATGAGTGTATTTATGTATATATTTTAACATTATTATATTCCGCTCATAAAATTTACTGAGTACTTTTCAGTGAGGCTATAATTATAATTATCATATACTTATATTTTGTTGCTCTGTTTTTGTTTTCTCTCCTTTTTGCAGGTGTGGAGTCAGACTACAAACGTGCTGTCTTGTGTTTTCTTAATGCATCTCTCTTGTTTGCCTTTCAATCTCTTTCTTCACTTTTCTCCTCTTTCTCTTGTTTACTTTTTTCAGTCCTCATGTCCGTTATAATTAATTAATCCCTAAAGAATTTATAATAAAGGTTTAAATATATATCAAGTGGAACATCATGGTGAAATGCCATTATGCTGCACTTGTGAAAGTAAAACTGATGGGCTTTATTTGAACACTCAGACATCAATTCTGAGTTTCACATTGCTGGACAGAACATGGTAAATAAAAATAAAACACAAGTCAATATAACCTGGTTGGCTCGGGAAACATTGAAGTCATTCCAATTAGCTTAACTTTCCTATTAACCAGTGCTTCTTTGATAGTGGGGCTTTTAAAAATAGAAAAAAAAATTTTTTTTAAAATTCTTTTATTTTAAGAATTCATTTGCTTTGAAGCACCATAAAAATCTGAATACCTCACATATCATGAAGTAAAATAATATATTTAAAATTGATTCAATGCAGAAAAATACACTAATTTAAACAGTAAACAATAATACTTGTTCTACAATGCAGTGTTTACACTACCATTATATGCAGAATGTTGGTGCCAGAAATTCATAAAGTGGTTTGTACAGATAAATAATTAAATATTATCAGGTTCTCATAATTTCATTTCAGGGGGACATAAAATTMTTTACTTCCCTATTGTGGGGCATGACAGAAAATAGAGAACCACTGCTATAGCTAATCCTTATGGAAGAGTATAGTATTATCCTGCATTAAATGAGAGAATATTTGCAAATCTTTTTCCTTTTCTAAATGATTTTGTTCCATACATGCACTTGAGCCTCATTACTGATTCACAAGTAACGTGACTTTCTTTCTCCTTGGAGATGTTCTTGCCTAAGTGAATCATGTCAACAACATGTTTGATGTAATTTCACAAGTGTCAGCCAGCTCAGTGAAATCTTCTTTACGTACCTTGTAGATTTTCCCTAGGTCTGTGCCAACCAAGAACAGATAGTCAATCTGTTTATGGAAGTCGAGTGATCTACCACCAGCTGTACATGAAAGGCAGCAAGACACACATGGTTATAAACACAAGTTTAGGGTTATGTGAAAGAAAATGACAGATATATTTTTATTACAATTAGGTTAGAGAGCCTTACTAATGCTGTATAACTGTCCACTCCTTGGTCTATTCTTTGGCAGACTGGTGATGTCTGTAAAGATGAGCTTATGCTGCAATCATGCAAACACACAGTAATACAWTAAGATTTTGGAAAAATTATTTATTTACAGACTGGACAAATTTTTGGATAAATATAAACTGCTTTCTGAAAGTCAGTATGGATTCAGATCTGAAAGATCTACAGCTTTAGCATTTATGGATTTAATAGAAGAAATCCCAAGTTCCTTAGACAATTAAAAAAAAAATTGCAGTAGGAGTGTTTATTGATCTTAAAAAAGCTTTTGACACAATAAATCATGATATTTTAATTAAAAAACTGGAGCATTATGGTATCAGGGGAATGGTGTTAAGCTGGGTTAAAAGTTATTTAGACAATAGACAACAATTTGTGACAATAGGTGACTTTCAYTCATCATCTTTGGARATTGTCTGTGGTGTTCCCCAGGGGTCAGTGTTGGGACKTAAACTCTTRATTTTATACATWAATGAKATATGCAAAGCCTCTAAAGCATTAAAATTTGTTCTCGTTGCGGATGATACAAATATTTTCTGTGAAGGGGAGGATTTACAGCAGCTTGTGAAGGTAATCACCTCAGAATTAACTAAATTAAAAAAGTGGTTTGATACAAATAAATTATCATTACATTTGGATAAAACTAAATTTATGTTGTTTGGAAATCATAAAGGAAATAGTTATTTTAAAATAGGAATTGAGGATGTATATGTAGACAGAGTTAATTAAATTAAGTTTCTGGGTGTGGTGATTGATCACAAGATCTGCTGAAAACCTCATTCAGTATGTTGCAAGCTAAAATATCAAGAAGTATCTCAGTCCTCAGTAAAGCTAGATATTTTTTGAATAATAAAGCACTGCATATTGTATACTGTTTACTTATTTTGCCATGATTGAGTTATTGTGTGGAAGTCTGGGGAAACACCTACAAATCCTCACTCAGACCGTTGTGCACTCTCCAGAAAAGAGCCATCAGATTGGTTCATAAGGTAGGCTTCCAGGATCACACTACTGAGTTATTTACCAAATCCTGCTTGTTCAAACTCTTAGACCTGGTTGAATTTAAAACAGCTCAAGTAATGTATAAAGCTAGGAACAAACAACTACCAGATAATATACAGAAACTTTTTATGGATAGAGTGGGGGTTGTGATGTCAGGGGAAACCTTAATTTCAGAACCAGGAGTGTTCGAACAACTATGAAGAGAATGTGCACCTCTGTCAGTGGTGTGCAGGTTTGGAATAAACTCAAACAAGAATTGACGCAATGTCCAAACATGAGTTTGTTTAAGAAAACACTAAGGCTAATGATTTTTGACAAGTACAGAAATGATAAACTGGGGTACACTTGATCCCTCTGTGTTCTGTTTTGTTTTGATAAATGTATGGGTTAAAATTATATAGTGCTTGCACAGGCATTTTGGGGGGTTGGGGAAACCGGACTGGGGTGGTCTTGGTGGAGGATGATGGGTGCATGGAGAGGTGCTGGATATCTGAATGTAAATGTGTGTATAAGTATTAGTGTTTAGTTGGATGTGATTGTCTCTGGATGTGTAACTTGAAATTTAGTATTAGAATAATATTGGATTACCTTATGTATTAGTTTGTTTTTTAATTTGTTTTTTTTCTTTTCATCATAAACTGATAATATTCTGAAAATCAGATGAAATGGTGAATAGGGGTAGGATTAAACAAGTTTTACTTCTTCCTACCCCTTTTCAGACATGTCAGTGGATTTATTTTGCTTTATGTGAGTGCAGGTATTAAGGTATGTGTACACAGATAGGTGTGTGCACATCAGGTGTGTATTATTTTGGGTTTATTTATTTGTGTGTAATTAGTCCAAGTGGTTTTTTTTATTTATTTTTTTTTTTGTTTGTAGATATGGGAAAGGGTATTTTGAGTTATATAGATTCAATGGGCCTCATGCAAGAACCGTTGGTACGCACAGATTTGTTCTTAAGTTGTGCGTACGAGTGATTTAGGAGAATTTGTGGCATTCACCAATTCTTTCGTATTCTAAGATTAAATTTCAGATACGAACAAAATTRACGAGTGGTCCAGACCTGTCGTATATTTTACGAGCAGTCAGTCTGCTGTTATCCAGATGGGTTTTCCTCTCTAATAACTTTATATTTCGTTAGTTTGAAGATATTTTGAGTTGAAAATAAATCACACTCCATAATTATGTTGACAATAGGCTATTCTGCTTGAATCAGAGTTATAATTTAAAATGTAAAATAAAAATGCACAGCGCTGCTGCTTCTGAATAAATGAAAATGATTTAACACGGTTGCTTATACTTTTAGGAGCTCATTTTATTGCACAGCTGAACTG